ACAGGGGCTGTTACCACCTCTAGTAAGCAGGCCACCAGTTGTAGCACTCAGAACAACAACAGCTACACAGTTAACGTGGGTTTAAGCTCCATTTAAGCATAGGTCTTTTATGCTTTTTAAACATTTTAATAAAGAATTGTAAATGGTTGACTTCTAATATTCATTACCTAGAAAATCTTGAGGCTGTTTATCATGTGATAAAGGAGGGATGAGCTGTGGGGACAGACAGGAGCTTCCCCCCATTTTAAGGGAAGGAAAGCAGTTCTGAAAGCAGGCCAAGTCAAGCAGCTGTATCAGATATCCTTGTTCTGACAACAGCAGCACCACCGATTTGAGGTTAACAGCACTGAGTTGGCATAAGAATAGAAACAAGTTAAAATCTAAAATGAATTATTTACTCCAGCTGAGGAGGTTATTCAAACATGAATGGTATTAACAGATAAAATTCCTAGAGTTCAGGAAGGCATGGTGTCGTTTTGATAGACAAATGCCACACGTGAGAAATAGAATAAAAAGAGGAAAATACATTTTACTTCTACAGAGAAGTAGCCAAACATGCATTTGTAAAATGTGGTTTTTACAGCAGAATCTTTAAGACATGTTTTTAAATTTAGTTATGAGCCTGGAATATAATTATACCAAGGCACGACTACTAAACTGGAACTCTCCATAGTTACAAACATATTAGCATTTAAACAGATTCCTTATTTTTTATGGGAAACTAAAGAAAAGAGGAGGCCTAGCTCTAAGCAGGGATAGCTAAATACTGAATAGCTACCTCTTTTACAGAATTGTCTATCCTAAAAAGTACCCTAACATGTTGAACCACATCCCTGTCACTAGAAGCAGTAAACTACATAACCTAGAGACTGAGCTAAGTGTGACAACCTCAACTCCGATATTTACTCTTTTTTTTTAATGCCTCTCTTTTAATATACTGTTTTCTGTGGACATAAGCAAGCATGTAAATATACAGATACACAAGAGTGTGGCATTTCAAAGTGAATATACGCACTATCCAGGCTCTCATTACTTGCTGGAAGAAACTCTCTCCTAAAACATAGGTACAACTCCATTGAATACAATCCTTAAAAGAGCTTCTTCATAAAAAGAGAAATATAAGAGCTTATCAACAACTGACTTGACAAAGGCAGTATCTTTTATCTAATTGTGTAATAATATACTGTTCTAGGAAATTAAATCACACAAAACCAGGATATATTCCTGCCTGTATCTTAAAAGGATGGGTAAGGGTATTGTCAGATAATGAAATCTACAATGCTTTTAAACCAGCAATACATTTTACACCTTCTCAAAGTAGTGACCAATAAAGAGCTCAGTACCTTTAAGCTTAGCTTTTTATAGCCTGCATCTGTGTCCCATATAGCTATAGTTTTGTCATATCCACCAGACACAACAAGTGATGCTGAAATGTAAAATCAGAATACTGTGTTTTATCTTTGCTTTGTCATACAGACTATTAAAAGAGGCTCCTACTAACAGTGAGTCAGACTTCATTAAAAAAATTAAATAATGAGCTATTAGTCATGTCTTAACAAGACAGCAGAAGTTCCTTTTGGCTACTTGATGCTAAAGTTGTTAATTTTATTAATACATAAATTTAGTAAACACAGAACTGAGTGGAAAAAGCTATACATGAAAATTTTGTTGACTTAGAAAATTAAGGAGATACTTTGTTTAAGAATTAAAATATAGAGAATATTTTCAGAATTGTTAGGTCAACTGTAAATAATAACAAAAAAATAGAGTTTAGTGTGGAAAGCATGCTTGCAAGATTGCAATATTCACAGGCCTGTCTGCATTTGCATGTCTTCAAGTCACAGGTACATTTTTCCCCCCAGAGTTGCCATTTACTCGTTTTAGTTGCCTGACCCAGAAGGCACTGTTTGGGTACAACTGCAGACTAACCCGCTGCCAGCAGTTCAGGAGTCATCTTTACTGCAGTTTTCAGATGTGAAGTTGCAAAAGCAAGCAGCCAATTACATCAAAGTGTACAGAAATTTGAATGAGTCCACTCCAGTGAAGAGAAGAGAGCTGTCCAGCACAGTGGCAGTTTGCAGTAACACTAACTTCATGTTGTGCAGGGACTAGTTGTCATCTATGATCTAGTGAAAGCAATGGAACTAGGGCAGTAAGAAATAGCTCCCCACTACCTCCACTCAGATACAGGTAGACTGGGAAATCTGTTTCCTCCTCCTATTCGCCTCCTATTCATCCAAGCATCAAGGAGACACCAAGTTCCAGGTGCCAGATTGTCTTGCTATAACTCATAGATATCATCTGCTTTGAACATGGTAGTTTACATGCTCCCTCAGTGTGGCTGAGAACATCCATGAAGTTTTTCAGAACTCCATTACTAGCATATGCTGTTTGGGCTGTGAAGTCACATTACTTTTGGGGGTACTAACAAAGACATACACATTTTTCTAATTCCTACAGAGCAGTACAGTATTTACTGAACACGTTTTTTCAGCTACCTAATGTTAGGAGAATATCTGCAAGCGCTAAGTTAATCTTTTAACATGGTATTGTGCTTTTACTCCATTATGATCTTTTTATTATACTTCTTGATGGGTATATCAATTAAACAAGTGTTCCAGTTGCCTGGTGAAGACAGAACACAGACCATCAATTTCAATTTACTTACTGACATGGACATAATTGTCTC